ATAGGCGCCGAGCCTCCTTAATTTCTTAATAGCTGTACTTCCTCCCTTTTAAATTAATAAGTCTTAGTATTGTTTTATTACTTGGGAAGTTTAGAATGGGGTAAAATGTTCATTTGTTCAAACTCGCTGGCAGGTAAGTGTAATACAGTAATGATAAGGTGTTGCTTTTACGGTTTGGCTCTTGTTACAGTTTTCTTCCTTGTCTTCAGTTTTCTTCCTCCTCTGAATATCTGATTTTTTTTTTTTTCTCCTTCATTTCTAGACTGTCACTCTCTGTTGCCCAAGTGCCTTGGTGTGGAATTATTCCACAAATGAAAATAAGAGCACGAACCCAGGTTCACCCCTGGATCTGCTACAAGTGGCCCCTTCCAGCCTCCCCATGCCGGGTGGAAACACAGCTTTCAATCAGCAGGTACGCTTTCTGTTGGGGTTTGGTGGGTGTATTTGTTCTTGATAGGAATTAGGTCATACTGGGCCATATCTGCTCTACCCCTCATCGCTCTGGGCGATCCTGGAGAAGTATTTAGCCTCTTCAGGATTGCAGAAGTTCACCAAGATATTGATTTTCTTTTCACCCTCTTGCGGAGAATTCTGCCACCCAGACAGTGGGTCTGGTGGTGGTTTTGACACATGACTGTGATTCTGATAATACCTTATGATATCCAGTTATCCTTTTATATTTGTCTCAGTCCTGGGCTATTTGTTTCAGGGGTTTATGGAACTTGAACCACGGGATTATGATTTGGTAGTGAAAATAAGATCTCTGTTTTGTGCCAAGCAGCTTTGTTAAATTAAATAAAACGTTGCTAGTTGGTTTCACACATACCATGGCTCAAAGAGGATATTTTCTTCTCACCTTTTTATATGGGGTCCTAAAAATTAAACTTGTAAAAATCATTTGTAAGCATTTACTTTTATGTATATTTATTATTGAAAGCTGGCATTGAATTACTATTTGTAAATTAAAAAAAAAAAACAAAATGTACTTCTTGGGCAACAGGCTATGTGTCTTCCAATTCAGTCAAGAATGTAGTTCACGATGGATACTTTACTCATGCAGAAAACCCTGATGTGATTTAGACAGCTGCTGTGGCTTTCCAAGGACACATTAATTGGTAGTGATTATCCTTCAGGTTCGGGCAAGGATTTATGAAGTGGAACAACAGATAAAACAAAGAGGTCGTGCAGTGGAAGTTCGGTGGTCTTTTGACAAGTGCCAGGAGTCAACCGCAGGTACAAAACACAACAGAACAATGTGCACTTGTGAAAGCAGGACTCTATACTGTGTTTTTGAATTTTGTAAACTGCTCCACATGAGTAAGGAGACTTTTTGCCAGAGCCTACTGCTGAATTTTGAGGGCATTCTTCAGCTTATGCCTTGTCTGTCTAGAGAGTCAGGTTTGGTTTTGATGGTCTTTCTTTGACAGTATATGCAGAGAATGAAAAGGAATTTTTAAAGATTCTTTTTGCCACCCATAAAGATCATTTTGTACTCTGCCGTTTTGATGTCATTCGTCCTCTTTAACTGCTTGCTTAATTTCTGCACCTAGGGGTGACTATCACTCGGGTTTTGCACACACTAGAAGTTTTGGATCGTCACTGTTTTGACCGAACTGATTCCAGCAATTCGATGGAGACGCTTTATCATAAGATTTTCTGGGCAAACCAAAACAAAGACAGCCAAGAGGTAGTTGATGTTTCTTCTTTTCACTTTTTACTTTTTTAGCATATTTTATTCTCAGTATACTCTGAAAAAGCCTTGTCTATAATTTGTAGCAGCTTAGGAGGGCATATCAACTTCGCAGCCATTGTGCATGGATGCATGTGGTCGTGGTCTTTGCAAAATCCTTAGACAATGTACTAGGATTCTACAGAGAACAGAACCAATAGA